TATGCTGCAGGTATACCACCTCCTCTAGGTGCCCACGTTACTCGTCAACTTTTCCATGAAGTTCAGGAAAAGAAAAAGGGCCATGGAGATGCCTGGGCATCCTCTGCATTCAACAACACCCATTCAACATCCTCCTACCCCCAACCCAGTCACTGGTCACATACAATTTGTTTTCTCCTTGTCCTCATTTCCCATAAATGTAAGGAACACACCCCAGACCTCTTACATAGTGAACAGGTAGCTTCCTGGCGAGCAGTCCTACCTGCCAAAGAAACCAGCAATGTGTGCTCTTTAATAGTAGTTTAGTCATCGAGCATGTGCCGTATTTTACACACGTGCGTCAGAATCACCTGAAAAGTGATTTATGCCACAGATGGCTGCGCCCGGACCCAGAGTTTCTGATTCAGTAGGTCTCGGGCAGGGCCTGAGGCCTTGCATTTCTAACGCATGGCCAGGTGAGGCCGATGCTGTTGTTTTGGGGGCCACACTTTCAGAAAAAACTGGACTAGAGACAAAGCTGGATCGAAACCATGGCTGATTTGTTTAATCTCAGGTAGGCCACTTAAACTAAGCCTTAGTTTCCTCATATATAAAATGGAAATAGAGTACCAGTGTTTCCATGTTACTGTTAAGATTCAACGAGGGAATATGGAGAAGGCCCTTGGCATGGGGCCCAGCCCATGGTAAACCCTGAACGGATGTAGGCAATTATTATTACTGTTGTTGTTCTTGTTGTTGATCAGAACATACCATGGCAGACATTTGGTCCTCTTCTAACCTCCTTTTCCCCCCTGTCTCTGCAAGGAATTCTGTCCCCAAAATAATGGAGCTAAATTATATGCAGAATATGGATGATCCTAAATCTCAGTACTCAGAACATAGAGGACGAATCCTGTCATGGCCGGTATTGGGAGAAAAGGCAGGTGCTGATCACGGAAAGAACCGAAGATCATAGTCACCCGCCACCCACCATCCAACACAACAGGGCAAAGACTTGCTGCTACCCTGGCCTAAAACCAGCTGGTGTCCTGGATATTCCCACTCAACACAAGTGTGTAGTTGCCCTCTAACAGGGCATCAGGTACTCTTTTCAGTATCTCCCGCACACTAAAGCAACCTGTGCCCCCCCCCCCCCGCCACGCCCACCTAGTCAGGCCATTCACTTTGCTTTGTCTATTTACAAGTTCTTTTGCCTCAGATCAATTTTCTCAGGCAGAGGCCCTCCGGGACAAACTCTGGAACTCATTGTGGCCATTCTTTCTGAAGGCCTATTTTTAGAAATTCCTTTCACTGTGCACCTCACCTCCGCAAAGGGGAGAACCTCAGCCAGTCAACGATCTGCAGCTTTTCAACTCCCCTCTTTCCTCCAGACCCAGAATAACTGAGGGGATCCTATTGCTGTCTACCACAGAACACGCACTCATTCACTCATTCAAGTTGTGATGCTCTTGTCAACATGGTTTCACCTTCCTGCTGAACCACAGGATCCCTTAAAATATCACAGCCATAGTCACGTGTGCCGAGTCTATAAAGCCTCCAAAACTGCGTAGGACCTACTGTACCATGGGCCCATTCCAAACTCTTGTCTGGAATTAAAATTCCACTGGCATTCCACTGATAGGACTGCAAGTCCCTGACTTACTCCTCCATTACAGCAAAGCAAAGCCCCGTAAGTGACCTAATCTGGAAGGATAAGATCCCAGGACCCGCAGAGAAAGGAGACCAGAAGGGAAGGCAAACCACAAAGAGGAAGGGAACCAGGCTTCTCCACCCTCTGTACGCTTTGGGGTTCACTGGAAAGAGGTCTGTAACCTAAACACTCAAGGGCCTAACCCAGCAGCTTTTGTTGTCCATGCTCTAGAGCCAGCACTTCCTGGTCCTGATCTACCGAGCCCTTCTATCAGCATTTTCTATTCTAGGAGCTACTGCAGGGAATGAAGCAGCAAACATTATCTATATTTTGTGTTAATCTAAGCCTCTGTATTAATAAGGCATGAAACAATGTGAAACCAAGAAGCTTTTATCCTTATCAATGTCATCAAAGCCATACAGGACCACTCCCGATGTCCTCAACTGTCATTTCTTTGAAGAAGCCAAATCTGACCACTCAGTGAAAGTGGGTACACATCCACCGCATTTCTTTATGTCTTATCACCCCGTCTTATTTTCTGTCACTTACCACTATCTGAAATTAACTCAGTAATTTGTTTATTTTCTGTCTCCACCCACTAGAAGGAACGGTCTCTGAGAACAGGGCCCCCGTATTCTTAAGTGTCTTTGGGTCCCCAGGGTCTAAAACTGTGTCTGGTACTTAACGGGTGTCCAATGAATATTTGTTTCATGAATGACTGGATGGGTCGGTGGACAGACAGACGGACAGACACACACACTCACGGACGACGCGCTTAAAAGGGGATCCAGGGCTAGTCGGCTTTCCCTTTCTCCCACTCAAGCACCCAGGCCCCGACCCACAAAGTAAAGGAACGCAGAAACTTTCCGCAAATAGCTTGAAGGCATAGACGACACAGCTGTCTTGGCAATTCCGTACACCACTAGTGCGCACGTCCACACGGGACCAAGCTCGTCCACCTTCCCATTACTCCTCTAGATGACTCTTAGAATCGGTCCGAGGACTAGCATCCTCCTCCTCCTCGTTCCCAATTTTCCCAGTAATGCCCGCCACCACGGAGACCACAAGGAACTGCCCACAACATAAATGCAGGCCACGGGCACGAAAGAGGGCGCCGAAGGCCGTACCACCCTAAGGCAAATGGCCACAATTCCCATCAGCCACCGCACTCCCGCCCCGGAACTTCGTGCGCTGCTGCGGCTGTGAATGTCCTCCCGGACCTTCTGCCTTCGCTCAGTGAACTTGTGGCCATTTGGTGGCAGCATCGCTCCACAGTTGCGCCCAACTCCGCTGCTCCCCCGCCCTTCGTGTTTGGAAAAAAACCGCGCCTCACAGTCGAAAATAAAATTTACTCCTCCACAGAGGCGGTTTTAGTGAACTTCCTCTTTGCAGAGGGCTATTTTCGTAAAGCCTTGCACCTCCCGCTTCCGTCCTTAAATTTTGCTGCAACAATGAGAGGGTTAGTGGATGAAAAATTACTCAGAGGAAAAATTCAGGATAGGAAGATTCTTACTTAACTGGTCAGATAGGATTCTTGCTGAGGATGGCCAAGGCCTCAAACATCAAGGGTGCAATAGCAACTGGATCAGTTATGAAGGTTAGGGAGATTCTCACCAAATTGATTTCGCAAAATTCATGCTAAAGGCAGGCCAAAGCAGAGGCATAGTGGAAAAGCCTCGGAATAGCCTGACTATAAATTTGATGAAGCAGACTTTGTCAGTTGGACCCATGATCACACAGTATCCTGTTAATAGCCTGTCCACATGGACATGGACCACTGCATTAACCTATCATTGTTTGGCATTTAGAATTTTCCTATATCCCTGTTTCTGTTTTTTGTTTTGTTTTCAAAGCTAAAAGGAACAACTTTTCAACAGAGCTTTGTCCTTCTGTCCCACTATATCACAATCTCTTTTCTAGCAGTCTTAATCCCTTGTCAGGATTACAGGCTAACAGTAGTTTCAATGAGAGCACAAGCCCTCACATTCAAAAACAAAACTTCCTCCACAGAAGCAGGGCTTTTGAAGCTGCTTTGTCCTTGCTTCTCTTTATTTCCACAGGGAAAAATTCCTAAAAGCATAACAGAACTTTTCTTCTTTAAAGTTTATAGGATTTACCATACTGTTGACAAGATTATTATTTAAAATTATTCTCGGAATTATTTTAGCCAGGGTACCTAGATTATTTAATTCATTTTTTTATTGAAGGATAATTGACACATAACATTACATTAATCTGTTGTACATTATTATTCAGTATTTGTATACATTGTGAAATGTTCACCACAATAAATCTAGTTAACATTCTTCACTTTAGGTAGTCACAAAAAAAGGGGTTTTTGTGATGAGAATTTTAAGATTTACTATCTCAGCAACTTTCAAATATGCAATACAGTATTAACTGTGGTCAACATGGTGTACATTACATCCCCCATGACTTATTTTTTTAACTGGAAGTTTGTACCTTCTCCCCCCCTTCACTTTAGCTCCTTCTTGATACACATTCAATAAAGAGAAACACTATCCTAAGGGGCTTGCTCAGTCATTGAAACTACTGTTAGCCTGTAATCCTGACAAGGGATTAAGACTGCTAGAAAAGAGATTGTGATATAGTGGGACAGAAGGACAAAGCTCTGTTGAAAAGTTGTTCCTTTTAGCTTTGAAAACAAAACAAAAAACAGAAACAGGGATATAGGAAAATTCTAAATGCCAAACAATGATAGGTTAATGCAGTGGTCCATGTCCATGTGGACAGGCTATTAACAGGATACTGTGTGATCATGGGTCCAACTGACAAAGTCTGCTTCATCAAATTTATAGTCAGGCTATTCCGAGGCTTTTCCACTATGCCTCTGCTTTGGCCTGCCTTTAGCATGAATTTTGCGAAATCAATTTGGTGAGAATCTCCCTAACCTTCATAACTGATCCAGTTGCTATTGCACCCTTGATGTTTGAGGCCTTGGCCATCCTCAGCAAGAATCCTATCTGACCAGTTAAGTAAGAATCTTCCTATCCTGAATTTTTCCTCTGAGTAATTTTTCATCCACTAACCCTCTCATTGTTGCAGCAAAATTTAAGGACGGAAGCGGGAGGTGCAAGGCTTTACGAAAATAGCCCTCTGCAAAGAAGGAAGTTCACTAAAACCGCCTCTGTGGAGGAGTAAATTTTATTTTCGACTGTGAGGCGCGGTTTTTTTCCAAACACGAAGGGCGGGGGAGCAGCGGAGTTGGGCGCAACTGTGGAGCGATGCTGCCACCAAATGGCCACAAGTTCACTGAGCGAAGGCAGAAGGTCCGGGAGGACATTCACAGCCGCAGCAGCGCACGGAAGTTCCGGGGCGGGAGTGCGGTGGCTGATGGGAATTGTGGCCATTTGCCTTAGGGTGGTACGGCCTTCGGCGCCCTCTTTCGTGCCCGTGGCCTGCATTTATGTTGTGGGCAGTTCCTTGTGGTCTCCGTGGTGGCGGGCATTACTGGGAAAATTGGGAACGAGGAGGAGGAGGATGCTAGTCCTCGGACCGATTCTAAGAGTCATCTAGAGGAGTAATGGGAAGGTGGACGAGCTTGGTCCCGTGTGGACGTGCGCACTAGTGGTGTACGGAATTGCCAAGACAGCTGTGTCGTCTATGCCTTCAAGCTATTTGGCGGAAAGTTTCTGCGTTCCTTTACTTTGTGGGTCGGGGCCTGGGTGCTTGAGTGGGAGAAAGGGAAAGCCGACTAGCCCTGGATCCCCTTTTAAGCGCGTCGTCCGTGAGTGTGTGTGTCTGTCCGTCTGTCTGTCCACCGACCCATCCAGTCATTCATGAAACAAATATTCATTGGACACCCGTTAAGTACCAGACACAGTTTTAGACCCTGGGGACCCAAAGACACTTAAGAATACGGGGGCCCTGTTCTCAGAGACCGTTCCTTCTAGTGGGTGGAGACAGAAAAATAAACAAATTACTGAGTTAATTTCAGATAGTGGTAAGTGACAGAAAATAAGACGGGGTGATAAGACATAAAGAAATGCGGTGGATGTGTACCCACTTTCACTGAGTGGTCAGATTTGGCTTCTTCAAAGAAATGACAGTTGAGGACATCGGGAGTGGTCCTGTATGGCTTTGATGACATTGATAAGGATAAAAGCTTCTTGGTTTCACATTGTTTCATGCCTTATTAATACAGAGGCTTAGATTAACACAAAATATAGATAATGTTTGCTGCTTCATTCCCTGCAGTAGCTCCTAGAATAGAAAATGCTGATAGAAGGGCTCGGTAGATCAGGACCAGGAAGTGCTGGCTCTAGAGCATGGACAACAAAAGCTGCTGGGTTAGGCCCTTGAGTGTTTAGGTTACAGACCTCTTTCCAGTGAACCCCAAAGCGTACAGAGGGTGGAGAAGCCTGGTTCCCTTCCTCTTTGTGGTTTGCCTTCCCTTCTGGTCTCCTTTCTCTGCGGGTCCTGGGATCTTATCCTTCCAGATTAGGTCACTTACGGGGCTTTGCTTTGCTGTAATGGAGGAGTAAGTCAGGGACTTGCAGTCCTATCAGTGGAATGCCAGTGGAATTTTAATTCCAGACAAGAGTTTGGAATGGGCCCATGGTACAGTAGGTCCTACGCAGTTTTGGAGGCTTTATAGACTCGGCACACGTGACTATGGCTGTGATATTTTAAGGGATCCTGTGGTTCAGCAGGAAGGTGAAACCATGTTGACAAGAGCATCACAACTTGAATGAGTGAATGAGTGCGTGTTCTGTGGTAGACAGCAATAGGATCCCCTCAGTTATTCTGGGTCTGGAGGAAAGAGGGGAGTTGAAAAGCTGCAGATCGTTGACTGGCTGAGGTTCTCCCCTTTGCGGAGGTGAGGTGCACAGTGAAAGGAATTTCTAAAAATAGGCCTTCAGAAAGAATGGCCACAATGAGTTCCAGAGTTTGTCCCGGAGGGCCTCTGCCTGAGAAAATTGGATCTGAGGCAAAAGAACTTGTAAATAGACAAAGCAAAGTGAATGGCCTGACTAGGTGGGCGTGGCGGGGGGGGGGGGGGGCACAGGTTGCTTTAGTGTGCGGGAGATACTGAAAAGAGTACCTGATGCCCTGTTAGAGGGCAACTACACACTTGTGTTGAGTGGGAATATCCAGGACACCAGCTGGTTTTAGGCCAGGGTAGCAGCAAGTCTTTGCCCTGTTGTGTTGGATGGTGGGTGGCGGGTGACTATGATCTTCGGTTCTTTCCGTGATCAGCACCTGCCTTTTCTCCCAATACCGGCCATGACAGGATTCGTCCTCTATGTTCTGAGTACTGAGATTTAGGATCATCCATATTCTGCATATAATTTAGCTCCATTATTTTGGGGACAGAATTCCTTGCAGAGACAGGGGGGAAAAGGAGGTTAGAAGAGGACCAAATGTCTGCCATGGTATGTTCTGATCAACAACAAGAACAACAACAGTAATAATAATTGCCTACATCCGTTCAGGGTTTACCATGGGCTGGGCCCCATGCCAAGGGCCTTCTCCATATTCCCTCGTTGAATCTTAACAGTAACATGGAAACACTGGTACTCTATTTCCATTTTATATATGAGGAAACTAAGGCTTAGTTTAAGTGGCCTACCTGAGATTAAACAAATCAGCCATGGTTTCGATCCAGCTTTGTCTCTAGTCCAGTTTTTTCTGAAAGTGTGGCCCCCAAAACAACAGCATCGGCCTCACCTGGCCATGCGTTAGAAATGCAAGGCCTCAGGCCCTGCCCGAGACCTACTGAATCAGAAACTCTGGGGTCCGGGCGCAGCCATCTGTGGCATAAATCACTTTTCAGGTGATTCTGACGCACGTGTGTAAAATACGGCACATGCTCGATGACTAAACTACTATTAAAGAGCACACATTGCTGGTTTCTTTGGCAGGTAGGACTGCTCGCCAGGAAGCTACCTGTTCACTATGTAAGAGGTCTGGGGTGTGTTCCTTACATTTATGGGAAATGAGGACAAGGAGAAAACAAATTGTATGTGACCAGTGACTGGGTTGGGGGTAGGAGGATGTTGAATGGGTGTTGTTGAATGCAGAGGATGCCCAGGCATCTCCATGGCCCTTTTTCTTTTCCTGAACTTCATGGAAAAGTTGACGAGTAACGTGGGCACCTAGAGGAGGTGGTATACCTGCAGCATATCCTTATTTGGGGCCAGGTAGATAGTACAGGGGTGTGGGATGCTGCTCCTTAAATGCCCGGCCCTCCTGGCCAAAGTGTTCCCAGAACTTTGCTTTTGTAGGTTCCAGCCCTTTAAGGCCTCTGTAGATTATGGAGGCGGGGGGCGGGTGGTAACCCGTATCCCAAACAATAGCTCTTGTAGTCACCACCACCAGGATATATCCCACTAATTATCAGCTATTGACTTATCCTCACCGAGTTTCAGTGGCTACACGAATCTCTGCTTTGGGGAGGGCCGATGGCAAGGGTGACTAGGAAGCACGGTGCTTGTGCAACTCCAGAAAGCCGGAAACCACAGGAAACCCAGGCGGGCCACCTGGTACTCATCAATTTCTCCATGAAGTTCAGGAAAATAAAAAGGGCCATGGAGATGGCCGACCACCGCTGTAGCTCACAGCAGCGCAGACAGAGAGAAGCCTCTGTGTAATTCTCCCGTGCTCCCTGCCAGGAGCTCAAAGGGGAGGACTCAGTACTGTGGTGGAATGTCCAGCCTCCCTGGCGTATGGAATTCAGGGAAAAGGGAGGCAGAGCATCTCCATCTGGTGGTGAAATGAAGGAGAACACTGCCTGGTGCACTAACTACATGGAGCCAGAGGGTCGGCTGACCAGCAGTAATGTGGTCCTAGATACAGTCTTCCAACCCTTGGGGAACTGGTGGGGAAGGCTGCCCCTCTAAGACCCATGGACCCAGGTACCCGGCTTCAGTATAGGTTGGTGGTGGAGGGGGCACGGGGAGGCCCTTTTGCCGGCTACTTTGCAGCCACAACTTCTAATTCCTCGGAAAATTGGGTAGACAGTGAGTCAAATGGCCTTATGGCCTCCCTTGAGTTTTCATTTGTCTGATAATGCTTTGTGTGGGGTTTGCTTATAGGCCCAAGTTTAAGTTTATTTCAGTCAGTATTTCCACCCTCCCTTGCATCTGATTTGCCATCAGCGAACCCGTAAGTAAGAAGATCTGAGGGAGGTCTCATCTGGAAGAAAAATCCATTCCATACATATATATATATATATATATATATATATATATCTCCACATATATATATATGTGGATAGATACAAGTATATGTATGTGCGCATATACATATATGTGTGTCGAGACATACACACAAATCTATAAATTTTATGTATTTATTTCAATCATCTAACATTAATATAGAATATTTAAATATAATAGTATAATATATAATTATACATAATAATATAATATAATTAATATAATCATATAATAACAGAACATATGTAATACGTAATGTGTAATATATGCAAAATGATGATATAATATAATTAATGTAATTATAATATATGTGATATGTTATATTTAATATGTGTGTATATATACATACGTAAAACAGGAGAATTTCTGTGTTTGTCTGGTTTAGAAGAAGAAGTTCCAACTTGGGGAAAGGGTATATACATTCCTGTTCTCTGACATGCTTAAACTTAGGGAGGTACTTAGAGAAGTCTTCCCTCTTCTAGTTGTAGCATGGCTCTTAGTCCCTCCATACCGGCATCAGGGTCTCAAACGGAGCACTTTGTAGGATCTGTAAATATTCATACAGCAGTTTGGACCAAGCAGGCCGGCAGGGCTTTGAAACTTGTTCATAAGCCAGTCCCTACTTATCCCCCACTGGTATAAGATGGTGGGGCTTACTGGTTTCCTTCTTCAGCCTCTGAATGCCCTTTCCTACTTGTCTCTCGCTTTCAGATTTGGGACAAATTGCCTAATGGTGTGAGCTCTTTCTCTGCAAGCAAACCTCAAAGTGCAGTCTTGCATAAGCTCGGAGTCCAGGAGAAATGTGTTCTAGCATGTCTTGGGCCCATCTCTGCTTCTTCAGCGCAACTGAGGAAGTAAGTGTAAACACAGATAACTGATTTCTTCACTCAGGCCTATCCCTACCGCCCTCTCCAGCCAGAGCAAACGTGTATTCACAGGCCAGAAGGCCAGCAAGAGCTACAGTTTTCTGACTGGATCATAAAGAGTGAACATTGTCTGATCTTGAACACCCAGTGCCACTAGTTAAACTAAAACACCTTTCCACAAGATACTTAGTTCCAATGCTCAAGCCACTTATTTTTCTCATGCCCCCATCCCCATCCACCCTTCTATTTCACAACTTATTTTCTCTCTTCAAACCTCCAACACTGTCTCTCCCATCCTCACTCTGAGCTGATGACCTCCCTTTCTAGTTCATTGAGAACACTGCAATAGGAGTCAACCCGAATCAACAAGTCCAAAATTGAGCTCCCCCATCTTCCCCTATGAACCTTCTTCAGCTGCAGTATTTTCCACTGCAGGGTAATGGCAACTCTATTCAATCAGTTGTTGTGCCATAGACTTGAGAGTGATCCCTCACTATGCTGCTGGACTCACCCCTCATTTTCAACCTGTCAGGAGAGCCCGTGAGGTCTTTGGAACAAAATATGCCCAGAATCTGACCGCTTCTCACCACCTCCACTACTAACATCCTGTGACAAGCTGCCATCGGTCCCCGCGCCGCACCCCCCCCCCCAACGCAGCATACTGAAACTGTTTCCTGACTTCTTTCTCTGCTTTACCCTCCCGCCCGCCACCCGCCACCCGCCACCCCCCTCCAAACTGGCCCACTGATAGTCAATCCGGCAGCCAGAATAATGCTATTACAACATATAATCAGATCATATAATGCCTCTGCTTAAAACCAACAGCTTTCATTGCCCTCAGGGTAGAGTAAGAGTCCTTAGAATTGCCTACAAGGCCATACGTGATGTGTCCACTAGTTACCTCTCTTACCTTATCTCGTAGTGCTCTCCTCCTTTCTCATTCCCCTTTGGCCACAGTGACCTTCTTACTGCTCCTAAAGAAGCGGCTTGGGCACCATCTATCTGTTCTTTCAGCCTGGAGCATCCTTTCCCCCAGATGTCTGCATGACTCCTTCCCTCATCTCTTTTATGTCTTTGATTAAATGTCACCTTTCAGTGTGGCTTACCCCTAAACATCCTATTTCAAATGCCCCTCCCCACCACACATACAATTCCCCTTTACCTTGTCTTATTTTGTTCTTTCAACACGTTATGTAATTTACTTCCTTATTATGATTGTCTGCTCGTCTCTGCCCACTAGAAAGCAAGCTCTTCAAAGCCAGGGTGGTGGTTGTGGCTGTTGTTTAGTATGTGTGTCTGATTGTTCACTGATTTGTCTCAAGAGTGACTGGCATGGAGGAGGTGCTCAATGAATGTTTGTTGCACGAGTAAATATCTATTACCAACATCCTCCGCGTTTACTCAATTTTTTTTTTTTTTTTGATCCGGGGAACAACGAGAGGGAGATGTTCATGTCCCCCACAAAATTATGTTTCCCTCAGTTTCCCCTTATGGTTGCACCATCATCAACGAAGTCCCAAGACAAAGAAAAATATTTCCAACACACGTAACAGGCAAAGGGTAAATAACTCTAAGGAACAGAAGCAGACGATAAATGGTGCACCGAACGGCGAAACAGACAAGCGAAGCAAACACAGTAGGGCACTCATGAATAAATGAACAGTGTTCACAAACACTTTGGTAGTGGTGGTGAGGGTAAGGAAACAAACTACTTTTGCTCAACTGTACCCACACTGAGAGTGTTGTAAAGAATATCTCCATGAATGTCGTTGCTGTACCTGGTGTTAGGAAAATGTTGAAGAGGAAGTTCACTCATTACACAGCAACCTCCCTAGGATGACTTATGGGAGAAACCTACCTCAGGGAAAAGCATGGTCATTCCTTCTGTGCGGTCATGCAGGTTTGACCTCAGGGATACCGTGACTCCTGCTGGCGATCACGGTTCCCTCTTTCCATTTAGGCAGCTTGAAAACGTAGATCGACATCTCCGGCCAACTGGCAGTAAATGTGTAGGACCTCATGGCATGTGCTTTGTGTTCAGATCAGTCATCTGATTAGACTTTCACATTTTAATTTGGCCTTGATTTCCTCACCCAATATATCTATTAAAACTCTGATTTTCTTTGGCATTGATGTACTTTGTAAGCTGTGTGATTCCTCAGCTCAAAGCCTGCCAATGGCTTCTGATCTCACCCAGAGTAAAAGCCCAGTCCTTGGCCTGGAAAGACTCTACCAGATTTAATTCCTGGCTAATTCTCTGGCCTCCTCTTCCCTTCACGCACTCTACCCTAGTCAAACTGGAGCCAGCTTATGCTTTTAATAAAATCTTCTGTTTCTGGGGTGGTTGAACCCCATGATGTGTGACCACAGCCGTAGACTTTTTTTTTTTTTTTTAACCCAGCTTTTGATGGCGAAGCATGATGGCTCTCCAAGCCTGCTTATGCCTTGTTCATGCCAACATTTGAATGAAGCTTATCTGTCAGTCATATCCTATATATCTATCTATATCTAAATTACATGTTATGCATTTCTGCAGATCTTCACATGTGCTTTAACGTGTATATATATATATATATATACACGTTATATATATAGAAGATATAGATATAGATATATATAGATCGCTACACTTTCCACCAATAGCGTCGCTGGTGTACCTGTCTGGTCAATGCTAAATTCTTGTTCTACAGCTCACCCTCTGAGAAGAAATACGGTCACCAGCCACACCACCGAGACCGTTAGATTGGTGATGACAACTACCTTCCATCTTAGCGCATCCACATTGCCTGCCAGAAAAAGAAACTCTGAGCCTATTTACTGGGGCCTCACTAGACAACAACAATCATCATCCTTATGGTCATTTATCTCTGGCTTTTTCTGTCCATGTGAGTCCACCGAACTTCCAAGGCTCCCTCCTCCAGCCCATCCGGTACGACCGTCCCCTCCCTACTTGGATAATTTCCCACAACGTGCACTGCTAACCCAGGATGGGGAAGTGGAGTATATGCAATACAAGAGAGGCTAGACTTTCGGGGCACCTGGGTGGCTCAGTCTTGTTAAGCGGCTGCCTTCGGCTCAGGTCATGATCCCAGAGTCCTGGGATCGAGCCCCACATCGGGCTCCCTGCTCAGCGGGAAGCCTGCTTCTCCCTCTCTCACTCCCCCTGCTTGTGTTCCCGCCGTCGCTGTCTCTGTCTCTGTCAAATAAATAAATAAAATCTTAAAAAAAAGAGAGAGAGAGAGAGAGGCTAGACTTTCAATGGCACTGTGGCACTTCCAATAGGTCAAAACATTCTAATGAGCGAATCCTTGGAAATCCAGGCCTCTGGAAACCCATGGTATGGGATTTCATCAATTTGGAGGTGCACAGGAAAGCCAGTGGGGCACAAATAGTTTGAGGGTCATGAATTATTACGTGACGGTTCAGGGTCAAGGCCCAGAGGTTTCTCTCTCTTGCTTCCTTTCACCTCAGGGAATGGCCTCAGGCAATGCCTCTGGAGCTAGTTCACTCAGTCTTCTCTGACCAGCAGTGCCAGCCCTTCCTTCCAGATCTTGTTCTTGTGTTGAACCCACCATGTGGACTTGACATCCTCACCAGAGAAAACTTGGAAAGTTGGGGAAAGTTAGCAGAATGAATTAAAAGATCAACCATAATTCCACAACCAATGTATAACCACTCTTTGTTCTTAATTTACTCCCCACTGGTCTCTTTCCTATGGGAGTAAGATAATGTAGACTGTAACCCACTACCATGAGATTCAGTGGTGTCCCCTGCTGCACTCCAGACATTGCTGAGCACGTGTGAAGATCTGCAGAAACGGCCTTCCTGCCCCCTGGCCACACACCCATCCTTCACGGGAAAAAGACACTTACCCCAACATTAGTCAGGCAATAAAAAAAAAAAATTTTAAAAAATTATTTATTTTTTTAAAGTTTTCATTTAAATTCCGGTGAGTGGACATGCAGTGTAATACTAGTTTCAGGTGTCCAATATTGTGGTTCAGCCCTCTCATACAACACCCAGTGCTCATCACAACAAGTGCCCTTGTTAATACCCATCACTCATATTTTTTTTAAAGATTTTTATTTATTTATTTGACAGAGAGATAGAAGAGCACAAGCAGAGGGAGTGGCAGAGGGAGAGGGAGAAGCAGGCTCTGCACTGAGCAGGAACCCGATGCGGGACTCGATCCCAGGACCCTGAGATCATGACCTGAGCCGAAGGCAGACGCTTAACCATCTGAGCCACCCAGGCGCCCTACCCATCACTCATTTAACCCACCCACCCCCACACCCCCCACCTCCCTTCTGGTAACCATCAGCTTGTTCTTTACAGTTAAGAGTCTGTTTTTTGGTTAGGCAATAAAAACAAAACAAAACGAAAAGAAATTTAGTCACAGTGAGATATCATTTCTTTTTCTATCAGAGGACTATTTGGTTTAGGGACGGAAAAGGATACTAGGAAATGACATCCTAAGGAACAGAGAACCAGGAAGTCTGGCCTGGGCCACTAACAGCACTGTGGCTGTTTGAGGGAAGTGGTGCTATGCCTTACTCAGGTTTGTCCCCTGGCCCAGTTCCCATGGGATCAGCTAGGAATCCAATGAGGGGCTGAGAGTAAAAACTGAAAGAGTTGTTTCCATAATAAGAGTTATGAAGCAGTGCCAATCACTCAGCACAGGCCAAACGGCTCCCTTTCATGGTGGGTGACCACCATGTGCAACTGGTGGGCCTGTGGTCAGACCACAGGATGCCCCTGTGCCAGCAAGCCCCACAGGAGCCACTCTCAGAGAAATCTGCTGGTGATACCTGGGTCCAGAGCCCCAGAATCTTTTGTAGATGTGGCTGAATAAAAACAGGGTTAACACCAGGTCAGCAGAACAGGCTCACCACCAATCTCATCCCTGCCTCTTCTCTGGATGCTCCAGAACTCCTAGCAAGCTCTGCATCAACGTATTCAGCCGCTCCAGCCAGGGTGTGTGATGGCCACTGAGGTTATCACCAGGCTTGGGCATGGACAGGCTTGATGGTATATCCTGACATAAGATTCCTTATCCTCACCCAAGAATGGAATGGAATGGAATGAAATGGAATGACAAAGGAGATCTGAAACATGGGCATGGGGCAGGCTTCAGAGGGCTCTGAGTAAAGAATTGATCCAAGTCCTAAATGACCAAATTGTTCTGATCATTTAGGGAAACACATACACACACACACACACACACACACACAACTGAAACAAAAACTTTACCACATTTCTAGCTGAGAAAATTTAGAGATGGGGCTTGGATTATCAAGTGGTAATACCATTAGAAACTGTTTTATGTTTCTATAAAGAATGTTCTGTGATTATAAGAAAGCAAAAAAGGAAAGAAGGAGCAGAGGTAGAGGAGCAGAGAGAGGGAGGGAGGAGGGAGAGAGAAACAGAGAGACAGAGACACACACACAGAGGATACAGACAAAGGAAGGAAAGAAGGGAAAGAGAAAAAAGTGACTATGTATAGAGACCAGCCATGGGCTTAGTTCAGTTTTCTTTTTGAAACCCATGGCTGCTGCCTCTAAAGCCCAAAGTCCTGATGATAACATTCTGGTATTGTGCTTGCTTAGTGAAGCTTTCAGAGCTTCCCTTGAGGAAAAGTTATGACCCACTGCAGCAAGACAGGCATGACTGGGGTCTACGCCCAACCAATGTGACAGCCCTAGTTCACCGTAGCACCAGGAAGTTGCAGCTAGACCCACAAGTACCATGCCTAACTTGTGCCTATTTCTCCCCTTCATTGCCCCAGGCTTCCCTCTCTGGTAGCAGGTGTGGAACAAAGGAAACTTTGCCAAGAAAAAAAAAAAAAAAAAAGAATCTCAGAGCGTCAGTCTGAGCTATGTCTGGAAAGTCCATGGCATTCTGAATGATTAAGAATTTACTGAGCATTTACTAGGCTCCAGGCCTTGTGCGAAGAGTTCCTATGTTCACTCATTATGTAATGCCATCATCAAAACAACCAAGCGAAGCAAGTGTGACTATTACCTCCACTTTTTAAAATTTAATTTTATTATGTTATGTCAATCACCATACATTACATCATTAGTTTTTGAGGTAGTGTTCCATGAGTCATTGTTTGCGTATAACACCCAGTGCTTCATTCACTACGTGCCCTCTTTAATACCCACCACCAGGCTAACCCATCCCCCCACCCCCCTCCCCCCTAGAACCCTCAGTTTGTTTCTCAGAGTCCATAGTCTCTCGTGGTTCATCTCCTCCTCCGATTTCCCCCTCTTCATTTTTCCCTTCCTACTATTTCTCCTTCTTCTTCTCCTCCTCCTCCTCCTCCTCCTCCTCCTTCTTCTTCTTCTTCTTCTTCAACATACAATGTATTGTTTCAGAGGTACAGGTCTGTGATTCATCAGTCTTACACAATTCACAGCGCTCACCATAGCACATACCCTCCCCAATGTCCATCACCCAGCTACCCCATCCCTCCCCCCCACCACTCCAGAATCCCTCAGTTTGTTTCCTGAGATTAAGAATTCCTCATATCAGTGAGATCATATGATACATGTCTTTCTCTGATTGACTTATTTCGCTCAGCATAATACCCTCTAGTTCCATCCACACGTTGTTGCAAATGACAAGATTTCGGGTTTTTTTTTTTTTTTGATGGCTGCATAATATTTCATTGTATATATATATACCACATCTTCTTTATCCATTCATCTGTTGATGGACGTCTTGGCTCTCTCTATAGTTTGGCTCCACTTTTGAAGTGAGGAAACCAAGGCTCTGTGAGCTTTAGAAACCTGCCTAATGTCACACAGATAAGAAAATTCAGGTGCCTCTGAAATACAAGATGACATACATTAACCACAAACCATCATGGCCCTGAGACTGAAGAGGGGAATAAGGTTGGTAATTTCCAAGGAGGAGGTGATTTTTACATCTGACCTGATTTCAAATCCCTTTGAAGGGAGGCACCTTCTCTCTTAAACATCTACTCACAGACACACACACACACATGCGTGCGCACACACACACGCGCGCGCACACACACACACACACACTGACTGGTATGGGGCAGTCTGAGTCCCATGTGATCCAGATTCTGCAGTTCACAGAATGATTATTTCCTTACCCTTATTCATGAACAATATTAAATCAACATTCCCAGAATTTTCTTGGAAACTTAATGCATCAGAAGCTCCTAACGTGGGGCGCCTGTGTGGTTCAGTTGTTAAGCGTCTGCCTTCGGCTGGGGTCATGATCCCAGGGTCCTGGGATCGAGCCCCACATGGGGCTCCCTGCTCCACGGGAAGCCTGCTTCTCCCTCTCCCACTCCCTCTGCTTGTGTTCCCTCTCTCGCTGTGTCTCTCTCTGTCAAATAAATAAGATCTTAAAAAAATAATTAATTAAAAAATAATAATAAAAAAAGGAGAAGCTCGGAACTTAGCCCCAAATGTGTTCACTTCAGTTGAGCTGATTCCACCATCCCCCAAGGATAGCTCAGAACCCTTCTCTGTCTTCCCATAATGCCCTGGATGTATTGTTATCGATCCATTCATCCAACAAATAACCATGGAACTCCTCTAATACAGGTCAGCCGCTGTATTACTCCATGGAATCTCTATCATTCCAATCACTACTATCTTTTTTTTTTTTTTTTTTAGTGATCAGTTTCCATGTAACCATATCTCTCACTAGGATGAGTGCCTTGTGAGAAGGCACCCTGCATTATTCACTCTTATATCCCTAGGGCTTAGCCACATATGGGCACACCTCTGAGTAGGTTATCAACAAATACTGGAGATTGAATGAAAAATTTCATGAGGTATCTACTGCCTGTGAAAAATTAGGAAGACAAAGAGGGTCAGCATGTCAAGGGGTATGGAGGGTGGAATGGAATATCCTGACTGCACATAGGGACAAAGGGAGGTGTCCTCCTTTCTGAGCATGTGCACTGGAGAATCATGCCTCTTCATGGGACCCATGTTCAGAAAATGGTGGCACAAGCATGATGAACGGGAGAGGTCTCGGGGTGCGTCGTCACAGAGGTTACTCTCGTTCACTCTTGGTCCCTTCCACGCAGCTGCAAGAATTCTTCCCGATTTAGTTCCAGTCTTGGCTAGTCTCATAGGTGGTTGGTCAACTACTGCAAAACAGACTCAGAACTCAATCAAATTAGCCAGAGTTTCTTTAGGGTAGAATGATCAAACATCTGCTGATGTGTCGGCTTCACTTTCAGTTTGTCCCTTGTTGTTGTTGTTGTTGTTTCTGGACAAGGAGCCTGAATTGTCTCTTGGTCCCTGGTATAGTATTCAGGGATCGTGCAGGCCTTCTGACTTTAAGTTGTGCTGCTGGTGGCAGCAGGGAGCAGCCCCTCCTTTCTTCATACAGCTACTGATTAATAGTAAATAAATCATAGTTTTCATGAACTGAGCAGCTTTTCTAAATCAGGTTTCACACTACATCATTCATCTCAGAATAACGCTACAAGTTGAGTATGCTGCTTCATTTAATATTTGAAAAAGAGAAAGAGGGAGGGAGGGAGAGGGGGAGGGAGAGGGACCCTGTACAAAAACAGTAGATGGAGGAATTAAGACTTGATTCAAGGTCCAAGTTCATCACTGATTGGTATTATGGATATTACATGGTGTTTCTTGAGTTTTCCTTCCTGAGAAGCAAATCTGTTCATCAGCAACCAAAGAGCAGTAGCTGGAGTCCATGGCCAGCCTCGCAGCACTATCTTATCACAGCAACCCTGGGAACACTAGAGCTACTTTTGATGGTAAGGGGGCAGGATGGAGGTGAGACTGTGGACATGACACAAAGCTGAGAGGGACTTATGGAGGCTAGTGAATGGTTGCACCTGTGTTTCAGTGAGGGAGAGGTAGTGGTGGTGTCGATGTCACGATGTCAACCCTTTCTGGCTACTGCAACCCAAGACAGAGCAAGATTTTCAGGGACTTGTGAGTCCCTGTGTCAAAAGGAACAAAAGGAACGCAGTGCCTTGGGCGTCACCTCCTGTAACAACTGTGTCAGATGGCCAGGACGGCATCTTAAGGGGCCGGTGTACTTCCTCCCGACCACAAAACAGTCC